TAATCAAATATGGCAATGTTCATACTTGGCCAATAATAGGAACCTCCAAGGCAGCAACTGAATGGGACCAGGGATGAGTCATTGGTACAATGCTGACATTGGAATCTAAAGCTGCTGTGCATCTGAGAATTATGGGGTGGGGAGGTTGGCAGAAGCTGAGCCTGCACTGAGGATGTAGTGTCTATTATGGACACCCTGGCCTCAGTGGTGCACATCCCCTCCCCCCTCCACCATGCTTCCATGCACAAATACATGTACCTCTCTTCGACAAGTACATTCATTTGTAGCAGGCACCATCGTTTGTCATGTGGAGGCATGACAACATTTTAAAGAGTGTCTATAACGTAAAGCCAAATATTTTGTTCTTTGATTTGGATAGAACAGATAAGACACAGCCAGGGGCGGACTGACCATTTGGAAACTCAGGCACTTCCCCAGGGCCCGGGGTCAGTAGGGGGCCCCATGAGATGCCGCTGGTACCTTTTTCATAGGCTTTTTTGAGTTTGGGCAAGGACACAGGGGCCCCATGAACCCCTATTGCCTGGGGGCCCCATGAGTTGTCAGTCCGCCCCTGGACACAGCACAAAGTTTTGGTAAGAACTGTCTAAGAATGATATACCCCTCACTTTGGAGGTCCATGCTGCAGCCAAGGTTGTCACCTGGCCTAGCTAATAAAAATTGGACTTTTTGCCAATGCTGTTAGGAAAGGGACTGTAAGTCAGATATTTTTTTCCCAGAAAAAGTGGCAACCCTAGAAGGGACATACTAGGTAGGAGGGGGAGTGAGAACACATAGAGAGTTTTTATACAAAATTTGACTTTTACTTTGATTCTGTAATGTAGGGTAGCGATGTGTAGTGCTGTAATCAAGGCTAGTGCTGGAAGCAGGGAACACGCTTTTCCACAGATGTAGATTCTATGAACAATCAGTAAAAAAAAAAGCATATAGGTAACTCCAGAGATTTGACTATAGCAGCAGGCAGGGTGCCATAAGGCTTCATGCACATGGCCACAAACCAGCGTACCATGTCTGCAATCAGGGAGGTGAATACGCATACGCCCCTGTACCCACATATTAGTGTGCATATGCACACAGCTGCAGCCTGCCATTGACTGCCCAGGCTGACTAGAAGTGGCTGTACGCTGTTCATGTCACTCCCGGCACAAAAAATGCAACCATATTGTACACTTTAGGGCATGAAGCCTAAAAAATGAAAGCCATAATAAAGTGTAGAACCTCTCAGCAGGTAAGCCATGGACCTAACTCCGTTGGAGAACGTAATTGTCACGTTTAACTGGAGTATACCTTTAAAATGTGTTTTTCATGGCAACATTGCCTTACATGGATAACTTCTATAATTATTACTGCAATAAGTGAGTCAACCCTGCAGTATTCATAAGATGCAGCATACTTCAAACAGAAATGACAGATTAAGGTACATTCCTCTTCATGTAACTCAGATGCATAAAGTCAAGGCGAACATTAAGCAGAACACGCAGGGAAGATTCTATAAGACGCTCTCAGCCCCGTGTGAATCACACATTTGCAAATGTATCATCATTACCTAATCTGTGGATCTTCAATGTTGTATGTTCTCCATATCCCGTTAGCATGGAATGTTAGTGTATGGTGCCAGAGACACGGCGCACAACCTTTGCTCCTACAATCACTCTGTACACATGTTTACTCTGTAGAAGTCAACTTACTATCAACATTGCAATAGAAAAATCTAGGCATTTAAAGGAAAAATTCCTACTATTTTTGCAGACCCCCCCCCCCCCCCCCCCCCTTCTCCAGCGTATTGCCCAATGTCAAAATCATTATATCACCAGTCCTATTGTCCCCCATTTGGAAGGAGTGTGCCCTTTTCTTCTGTCCTTCTTTCCTCCTCAGTTGTCCCTCTTTTTGGTCTGATGTACAGATATCTATGAAAATGTATCATTTTATCATATTACTTAAGTAACTTGCTATTTTAGAGAAATGTAAAGTAAAAGTAATTTTAGATGTAGCACAGACCCCAGACCAGACTGGCTGTTGGGTCCCAGGTTCCATTTCCTGATAGGTAACTGGCATTTCCTGATTTCCTACTGGTTACTCTCCTGACCAAGGCACTTGTCAGCCAGGCACACAGTAGTTCACAGTCACTCAAGTAAGAAAAAAGTCCACGTGTACCTTTTTGTCGTTTATTTGCTAGTTTAACTTGGATGGGGTAAGGGTGAGCTTTGGGATACTCCAAAAACTAAAAAAAAAAAAAAAAAAAAACAGAAATGCAACAGGGGACACTGAAAACTAGTCTACTCCTTCGGGATATAACTACCTTCTTGAATGCAGAGTTTAAATGAACTTCAATGTAGGAACCCCTCAAGAGGGGTATAATCCTGGCTCAAGACACTGTAGTGTTCTCTCCCAAAGGTAGCAATGACAGTCTCTAGGGACTTTGATGCTAGTACTCACTGGGCCTCAGGTACTGTAATGCTTCCTGTAGTACCAGCTAGTCTTTGAACTGGATGCCTCCAGCCTGGATCCTTTGCAGAGCTTTAGTCACTCCATACTTCAGGCTAATCTGGATGGAGATCTAGCTGGAGCTGGGATCCCTAAAATGATTTCTTCTTTCTGCATTTGACAGCCCAGGGATGTCTTAGCCCTTTGGCTAGGTTTTATTCCCCCAGATACAAGAAACTGCTTTTCCAGGCCCCAGCCTATTTATACCCCTCTCAGTTTCCTACTGGTCACTCTCCTGACCAAGGATTGGCTGAGACAGTATAAATATACAGGCCAGGGTCAGACTCTCCCACCCACTATATCCCATAGTTCAGTGGGATGCAGGGGAAAGATATTGAGCCTGCACCAGCAGAACCCAGAACAGCCAAAAGCTATTGATTACTGCTCCCCTTACTACAGGGAAGCCAAAACACTAAATTTACCTAGAAACTATCAAAAATCTAACTAGGAGGGCACTACATAGAAAAAAATTATTTGGGCTTAGCCAATACATTTTGGCATGTAAATTAATGGTTTGCACAGGGGCGGACTGACAACTCATGGGGCCCCCGGGCAATAGGGGATCATGGGGCCCCTGTGTCCTTGCTCAAACTCAAAAAAGCCTATGAAAAAGGTATCAGGGGCATCTCATGGGGCCCCCTACTGACCCCGGGCCCTCGGGCAGTGCCTGAGTTTCCAAATGGTCAGTCCGCCCCTGGGTTTGCATAGCTGGGAACCCATTTCCTAAATACATTGTGCTAGAAGGTGTCCCTTTAGGAGGTATGATTAGCTATTGCTATGACTTCAATAGCCATCAATAACTCTCTTTTAGGCTTAACAGCTGAAAGAAAATATCATCAGGGTTTTTCATTAAATGTATTTATATAAAAAACAGAAAATCATGAATACAAATCATAAAAATTAGTTAGTTAGATGTTTGCTCTTGTTTTTGAATCAAAGCACAGAATGGAGGTCCATCTACTGACAATGTTACTCATAAGTCATTTGACACATCAAGTCAATGTCTCTACTTTGATTACAGGTTCAGTAACATAGAGAAGTAAATACAGTGCATTGCTAGCAATAGTCACATTTAACTGGACTTATTATGCAATGTTGAAAACATTTCATAGCTTCTCCAAAGTACTTCTTCAGTGACTTGGAGAAGCTACTAAACTTCTTCAACATTACAGCCAAGTTTATTGTGACTATTACTATCTATAACATGCCCCGGATGCATTTTGCTCCCATTTACGCAAAGCTGATAAGTTCATTGTCCAGAGATAAAGTTGCAAATGCCAACAAACAAAAATTTTTAGCATTAAAAAAAAAGAAAAAGTAATTTCAGGGTTTATGGTAAAGCAGCCATAAAGCTAGAAGTGCGCAGTCTAGAGAAAAAGTTGACAAAAAACAAAGTTTACAGACAGGTGTTGTGTGTTGGATTGTTCCTCCCTTGAAACATGTGCCTGTCTGCTACCATTGCTGTTGCTCTCCTTCGTGATTCTTTTCCTGTAGCTCTCCTTATCTTCTTACCTGTGAGTACATGTGGCCTGCGTCCCTGGATGTGGAGGTCGGTGGTGGGTAGGTCCTCTGTGTAGCTGCAGGTGCAGTGATCCCTGGAGTTGGGCAGTGTGGTAGCAATAACTGGACCTCTACGTATTGCAGCCAGCATTCACTCACATACCAGGAATTCCTGCTGCCTCTCCAGGGTCACGTGTCTAGCACAAGTCAGTAATAATATAAGATAAAGTGCAGTGCTGACAACTCTATGTATCACTGTACTAGTGTGTGTGTGTGTGGGTGTGCGCTCCATGTGTATACACCTTGTAATCTAAAACTCAACGTGTGTAAACGCACAGGCATAAACATTACAGAATCAGAAGCTGCCACAAAAGAGAGCCATTAAAAATTGCCCCTTAACCACGTCAAGTCCGGACACTTTCACCCCCTTCCTGTCCAGGCCAATTTTCAGCTTTCAGTGCTATCACACCTTGAATGACAATTGCGCGGTCATGCAACGCTGTACCCATACAAATTTTTTAGCATTTTTTTTAGACAGATAAAACATTATTTTGGTGGTATTTATTCACCACTGGGATTTTTATTTTTTTGCTATATAAATGAAAAAGTCCAAACATTTGGAAAAAAAAGTGTTTTTCTTATAAAATTTTGCAAATAAATAATCTTTCTTCATAAATATTGGCCAAAATGTATTCAGCTATCTTTTTAGTAAAAAAAAATAATAATAACCCAAATTAGTTTATAACCAAAAATTATAATTTTTCAAATTTTTTTTTACATTTTTATTTTATTTTTTTATATTATTATTTATTTTGGGGTTTTTTTGTTTTTTTTTTTTAACATACTGTCACCCCAGCACCATAGTGACACTGTACTACTTGTGGGGGGGGAGATGAAGATTTCTTTTTTTACACTGATTGCTTTTACACCCATAAAAGCTGTAAAAGCAATAATTTCTCCTTCTCTCTGGCTGCATTCTTGCAGCCATTGAGAAATACTGCGAGAACTGTGATTGGTCACAGCTTGTCACATGGTACAAGGCTGTTGTGAATAGCCTTGCACCATGTGACCTCTGTGAACATTCACAGATTTCACATGTAGTAAGCAATGATGTCAGGAAGTGACATCTTGTTTACTACTATGCATGTGATCACTGATTGGCCAATCAGTGATCACATGATCGGGACCTCACACAGAGAGACCGGACACAGTGGGCACTGGATCGCGGTGCCGCGCGCTCCCAGGGAGTGCCCACAGGCAGGGAATGCGAGGAGGACGTTTATAAATGGCCACCCATTCCTGCATTGCTCCCGTCCAGCCGATTATTTACATGGGCCAGATGGGAAGTGGTTAAAGTGCACCTGAGCCCAGACTATGGGCTTTAAAGAAGAATCCCTGGTATGGCATGTTTTACACAGTTACATTGCTCCAGCTTTATCTAATGTAACTACACCCTCTTCCAAATTATTATGCAAATGATATTTTTCTCATTTCCCTAAATAATTGATGTAAATAACAGTCAGCATAATTCTCATGTTATCAACTATTAAGAGTACAATTCACATTTTATTGAACAAACCTCCTAATGATAACAGGATTTTTGTTAAACATAAAACACTTACAATGACTGTTCCAAATTATTCCGCACAGTAAGTTTCAAAACACTTTATAGGTTGTAAAGAACTGAAAATTGTCATTTGTTGTGTTTGCAGCATATTTACTGAAATCAAAAGCTATTTCAATCAAACTTGTAACAACATTTTAGCTTTTTAAACATTTTAACAGGTCACGTTACATTGTAACATAGGACCCCTTATTTGATAGCAGCTTCACAAGTCTTGCATCCATTGAACTTGTGAGTTTTTGGACAGTTTCTGCTTGAATTTGTTTGCAAGATGTCAGAATAGCCTCCCAGAGCTGCTGTTTGGATGTAAACTGCCTCCCACCCTCATAGATCTTTTGCTTGAGGATGCTCCAAAGGTTCTCAATAGGATTGAGGTCAGGGGAGGATGGAGGCCACACCATGACTTTCTCTCCTTTTATCCCCATAGCAGCCATTGATGCAGAGGTATTCTTTGCAGCATGAGATGGTGCATTGTCATGCATGAAGATGATTTTATTACGAAAAGCATAGTTCTTCCTTCTCTACCAGGGAAAAAAGTTGTCATTCATAAACTCCACATACTTTGCAGAGGTCATCTTTACACTTTCGGGGGCTCTAAAGGGGCCGAACCAGCTCTGTTCCCATGATTTCGGCCCAAAACATGACTCCACCACCGCTTTGCTGACGTTGCAGCCTTGTTGGAACAGGGTGGCCATCCACCAACCATCCACTACTCTATCCATCTGGACCCTCCAGGGTTGCACAGCACTCATCAGTGAACAGGACTGTTTGAAAATTAGTCTTCATTCATTTTTCTGCCCAATGCAGCCATTTCTGCTTGTGAGCATTGGTTAGTGGTGGCCGAATAGAAGGTTTATGCACAGTTACAAGACTCTGGAGGACTCTACACCTTGATGTCCGTGGGACTCCAGAGGCACCAGCAGCTTCAAATATCTGTGTTTGCTGCTATGTAATGGTATTTTAGCAGCTGCTCTCTTGGATCTGGCAGAAATCTTCCTCAATGTGCCTTTATCTGCACCAACCCGTCTGTGCTCTGAATCAGCCACAAATCTCTTAATAGTGCGATGATCACGCGATTATCAAGTTTTCATGAAATATCTAATGTTTTCATACCTCGTCCAAGGCATCGAACTATTTCATTCTTTTCGGCAGCAGAGAGATCCTTTTTTTCCCCATATTGCTGGAAAATGGTGCTCTGCCTAATAATGTGGAACACCCTCCTTTAGTAGTTTTTTCCTTAAATTGGGCTCACCGGCCAATCTAATTATCACAGGGGTCCGAGATTGTTTTCAGTGATCAAAAGAGCCCTGACACACAATGCCATCCATGAGTTAAACTGAAAATCAAAATATTTCATCTTTGTGACACTTAAATAGAATTTGCATAATAATTTGGAATGTGGTGTATGTATGTACCATATCTGTGGGATCCCTCAAGAAGTTGAAAATCAGTGTAGTAGGCACTGCACTAGTGATCTTCATTGGCTTACGGGTTATGTGCCGAGTGGCTTCCCTGCTGCATTCTGAATACAGGAAGCCAGCTGCCTAGCATGGATATCAATCAGAAAATGCTTTGTATTCTCTAAATGAATGTAAAGCATTCTCTGAATGGATGAGGTGGAGGTGACGTCACATTCGCTACCTCATCCAAATAACCGCTTCCTGACCACCCTATAGCAAAAGTACTCCTACAGGACGTCAGGGATGAGCAAAATCATGTATATATACATGATTTAGCATTTCTGGGTGGGGGGGGCACGCGCTCCCTACCTACGCTGCTATTGGCTCCTCGGCATGTCAGTCACTGGGTCCTGGCCGCCGATTCTCGGCCGGGACTCGGTGATCATAGGAGGAGCTGACAGGGGAGAAGTCTGTATGGAAACAACACAGACCTCTCCCCTGTCAGCACAGACTGATACAATGCAGCTTGTCTACATAGTAAAACACACTGTTAACCCTTTGATCGCCCCAAATTAGTACAATGTCAATGCTTTTTATTAGCACCGATCACTGTTTTTGTGACACTGGGGATGTCAGTGGCAGTTAGTCAGTCCCCCCCCAGTTTCAGAATTACTGCTGCAATCCCACAGTCCCGCTATCAGTCGCTGATCGCCGCTATTACTAGTAAACAAAATAAATAAATAAAAATCCCAGAATATATACCACCATTTGTAGACACTATAATAAAAACAATTAATTTACATGTATTGGGAATTTTTTTTTTTTAAGGAAAAACATATAGCAGAATACATTTTGCCTAAATTTATGAAGAAATTTTAATTTTTTTAATTTGTTTTTACTGGATATGTTTTATAGCAAAATGTCAAAAATATTGTTTTTTTTTAAATTGTCAGTCTTTTTTTGTTTATAGCGCAAAAAATAAAAAAAAAAACACAGGTGATCAAATTATTATAATTATTATACAGTATTTATATAGCACCAAACGGTTTGCGCAGAGCTTTACAAAATGAAGGTAGACATTACAGTTGCAATATAATTTTGAAGAGGAAACAGAGGGCCCGGCTTGTTAGAGCTTACAATCTACCGCCTTTATTTGCTCTATTTGAAAGCTCTATTTGTTGGAAAAAAAAGGACATACATTTCATTTCTGTGCAGCGTTGCATGACTGTGCAAGTGTCAGTTAAAGTAACGCAGTGCCGTATCGCAACAAACGGCCTGGTCAGGAAGGGGGGGGGGGGGTAAATCCTCTGGAGGGTAAGTGGTTAAAGAATGCTTTGTATTCTTCGAGAAAATGCAAAATATTCTCTGAATGGTGCAGCCAATATCCTTTGTTTAAAATGCAGCAGTGCAGTGGCTTGGCATGGAATCCAAAAGCTAGTGAGGATCAATGGAGTAGCAATGTCTACAACAGTGGTTTCCAGCTTCTTGCGGGATCCCACATGTGCTATATACATAGTTATCCAAGCTGGACTAATGTAACTATCTAAAAAAATCATACCTGCAATTTTTCTTGAAAGTATTTACATATTTTTAACAAACAATAAAAGAGCTTTTCAAAAAGCCGTCCTAAAAAAATCACAACAAAGACTTCAAAGTTGGTTTAAGTATTTTTCTAACAGTTTAGAATTACCTTTTTTTTACTGCAGAGGAACCCTTAAAATAATTTTTAGCAGGGAACCGCTGTGAATTAATCATGGTCAGAGGGAAGAATGTCTCTTACATTGGTCCAGCTTGGTGGACATTGAGAAGAATGCTACCCTTTCAGTGGTGGTCAGAATGCCAGTCATACAGTCAGGTAAAAAAAAATATTGGTAAGATGCCACTGGTACTGCCAGTCAATGAGAAGAATGCTACCCTTTCAGTGGTGGTCAGAATGCCACTCGTACAATCAGGTAAAAACAAATATTGGTAAGATGCCACTGGTACTGCCAGTCAATGAGAAGACTGATACCCTTTCAGTGGTGGTCAGAATGCCACGTGTACAGTCAGGTAAAAAAAAATATTGGTAAGATGCCACTGGTACTGCCAATCAATGAGAAGACTGATACCCTTTCAGTGTTGGTAAGAATACCACCCTTCCAACCAAATAAAATGATTATTGGTATGATGCCACAGGCACTACCAAGCGGTTTTGGATCCAGATTTATGCAGGCACCATCAAATGGGAAGACAATCAGCCGCACCTCAAGGAATCCCTAGCAACCTCTATAGGAACTCTGTGGTTCTACAGAACCCATGTTGAAAATACATGGCTTAGAAGCACCTGATGTGTGTTTCAATTAGATGGCTGACAGGTTGCCAAAATTCTGCTGCAGTAGGAAGCAATAGGAAAAGAGCTAAGATTTCAGTGTGTCTACTGGGAATTTTGAAGATGAATTTCTCCACAATGCATATATCTGCATAGGTGAATGAGGGGTTGTTTTAAAGTGCTTTTACTGTGTGTTTAGAACATGTAAATATTTGATCTGCATATTCTAGGAACAGGTTCGCTTTAAAGTAAACCTGTACTTTGCCCATAGGTGGTTTGCTTTATGAAAGGCACAAGAATTCTGTACCCAGCTTCCTTGCATTCCCATTGCTTCCCTGAAATAGCTCTCAGAAGACCATGTGATCGTTTGTCATTTCCTAAGGCTTGTGCAGATAAGTGTTGCTGTAAAATATTTTTGGCATTCAATCCCAGCACTGCTCAAATTCATGGGTTCCAACCGCAGAAAAACAGATTGTATATGCAAAGCTTTAGAAAGTCAAATTTTGTATAGGGGTATGCATGCCTCTGCCTCCCACACACACTTAAAAGGGGAACTCAGGCTTAGTGACTGGCTGATCAGCTACCACATGCTGTTTTGTGGGATGTAGGGGAGTGTCACATACCCCCCATCCCAAAATAACATTGAAGTTTTTGTCTGGATTGCAATGATGGATCAAAAAGTGGGGGAGTGCTTAAATGCACATTGTGTCTGCTGTAAAGCAAACCTGTCACTCTGCCTAGTATGAGCAAAGTAAAAGTTCACCTAAATGTTAGTAAATTTCATCTGGTGCATAATAACAGGCTCCTCCAGATGTTTCAAAGTGGCTTCTGCAGTCTTTACATACTGTACATTTTCTCATTTCATATATATCATGTTATTATTCCATCTATTGCAGAGGAATACAAGAGAAATACATGTAAGCCTCATGCATACTGGGTTGGACTGCTTGTGTTCCAAGCAGGGGCGGACTGACAACTCATGGGGCCCCCGGGCAATAGGGAATCACGGGGCCCCTGTGT